TTATTTTGCTGAAATACTATTAAAAAAGGTTGACTGCAGGATAATCTATATATTCACCGTAAATACATCCCTCTCTTACTACAAGAATATTATGTTAAAATATTTTTGACAAAATGTTTAATTAAAACCATAGTTAAATATTTAACATATACATGCATTGCTGTCCTGTTGAGACCAGGACTGTCTGAAACAGATGTTGAATTCCACAAAGTGGAAACTGTATTTCTCACTGTCTGACCAATCACCACTTTCTTTATTATTGGTTTTAGGTAGGTGTTCTTTATCAGGGCGATGGCATTTGAATTAATCACATTTAGGGGATCCTGACTTTATGCAATATTTGGAATTCAATAACGCTCCAGACATCTCTATAACTTTATGAGTCAGCCAAAGCAGTATTAAGAAGTAAAATAATAACTTTCACATCCCCCCCAAAAATTAAGAGAGGCTAAATGTATAGATCTGGAAAAACAGATCAATATATTAGAAAAACAACATAAAAACCAATTAACTCCTGACTGTCTAAGCCAATTGAATACAGCAAGGAGAGAACTAGAAACTGTACTCTTGGAAAATCAACCCATGCTTCCTAAAGCAAAGATCTTATGAATATTGAAATAAAGCTAGCTGACTACTACCATTTCAACTTAAAAAAACAAAAGGGATCAACATTTGTACAAAAAATTAAAGGAGATAAATCATTTCATATAAACCACATGAAATATCAGAAGCCTTTAGTACATTTTATCAGAAACTTTACACAAGAGTAGACACCTGTACAGAACTAGACAAGACTCCTATTTGGGAAATATTAATTTTCCAAAATTAGATGCCTCCACCTCTAAAGCAATAAATGAATGTACTGTATTACAAAAGAAGAAACTGAACAAACTGTAAAAAATTAAATAATAATAAAAGTCCTGGCTCAGATGGCTACACAAATGAATTTTATAAATCCCATACTGCCACAATATTGGAGAGAAACCATAATTTCAGTTATTCACAAGGAAGGTAAAGATTTAACAAACTGTGCATCTTATAGGCCTATTGCCCTATTTAACACAGATACTTAAGTACTTAACACTGTAAAGTACTAACCACAATATTAGCAAGGAGACTGGTGCCAGTTATAACAACACTTACACACCCAGATCAAACAGGATTTACCACCGGGCATCATCTCTCTGACAACATCCGTAGGCTTTTGAACAATGTCTCATTCAAAAACCCAGTTGATATCATGTATGGCATTATCTTTGGATGCAGAAAAGGCATTTGATCAGGTGTCATGGAAATTCCTTCTTAAAATATCAGAAAAATACAGATTTGGCCCAAATTTTTATAAAGTGGATCTGTTGCCTGTACTCAGCCAGGCAAGTGATGGTGCAGGTTAATGGGAATCTCTCACATTTTTTCCAGTAAGATAGAGGCATTAGGCAAGGTTGCCTTTCCCCACTATTATTTGCCCTCAGTATAGTGCTCCTGTCGCAACTAATAAGAGACAACAAAGATATCACTGGAGTGTGGATCACTGGAGAAGAAAATAAACATCCTCTGTATGCCGATGATGTTCTTGTATATATACACCTCTTTCCTTAAAGTTCCTCCCAAAATTGATACTGCAGCTCATAACATTTGGTTTTTATTCAGGGTATAAGGTAAATATAGATAAACTCAGTTGACCACAGCCCATATAAAGTTCTCATTTTCTTTTAAATGGCCTATCAATGGCATTACGTACTTGGGGACTGTAATACCTACCAATCTCAATAAAATATATGAAGCCAATTATACCTGTCTGATAGGGAAAATAAAAGGACAAGTCATTGGTCTATATTGCCGTTTTCCTTGATGGGTAGAGTGGATATGTGAATATATTGCCAAAACTTCTGTTCCTCTTTCAGACACTGCCGATCACCCCTCCAAAATCAATCTACTCACTGCTGGATAGACTAATACCTAGATTCATCTGGCAGAGTAAACAACCTCAAGTTCAAGTTCAAGTTTGTCATTTCAGCCATACAGAAGTATACAGTGGAACAAAATATAATTCCTCCTCATCCACAGTGCAAATACAGGCAGGACAGACAGGACACTGACATATTGACACATTGTAGAAAGGATACACATATTGCAAAGTGCAGATAGTGCAAATTACAAGGTAAATACATAATACAATATACACAACACACTGGGGGGATTTAATCCCTATTTCTGGAATTGGGGCAGGTGCAAGTAGATTCCAGGGTGTTGAGGAGCCTGTGGGAAGAAGCTTTTACAGAGCTAGCCCATACACTGCGATATCTTTTCCCAGATGTTAGAAGGGCAAAGAGTTTATGGGAAGGGTCATCTACTATACTGGAGGTCCCGTGTAAACAGCGTTTGTGATAGGTGACAGAAATGGAAGGGTGGGAGGCGCTAATGATCTTTTCAGCTGTTTACACAATTCGTTGCAGGGTCTTGCGGTCTGAAGCGTTTTCCCAAACCAAACAGTGATACAGCTGGTCTAGGTGCTCTCAATGGTGCTTCTGTAGAAAGTGGTAAGAATGGGCGGGAGAAGGTTCGCCCTCCTCAGGAAATAGAGATACTGCTGTGCTTTCTTGGCTAGGGAGGTGGTATTGAAGACCCAAGTGAGGTCATCTGTAATGTGTACACCTAGAAACTTGGTGCTTCTGTCTCCACAGGTATACAGTGGAGAGTGATCAGCATGGGCCCTCCTGAAGTCAATGAGTATCTCTTTTACTTTGTTTACATTAAGAGATAGGTTGTTGTTTGTCCACCAGTCTGCTAGTTGTTCTTCCTCCTCTCTGTATGGTGCCTCATCGTTGTCACTAATGAGGCCCACCACTGGCATGTCATCAGAAAACTTGATGATGCAGTTTGAACTGTGCTTGGCAGTACAGTCATGAGTCATCAATGTGAACAGAAGTGTACTGAGCACACAGCCCTGGGGGGGTTCTGGTGCTCACTGTGATGGTGCTGGAGATGTTATTACTGATCCAGACTGTCTGAGGTCTCTTGGTCAGAAAGTCCAGAATCCAGTTACAGAGGGAGGTGTTAAGGTTAAGCAAACTCAATTTTACCGTCAGCTTCTGGGGGATGATTTTATTAAATGCTGAACTGAAGTCAATGAACAGCATTCTTACATAAGAGTCTTTCTTTTCCAGGTGAGACAGGGCCAGGTGAAGGGTAAGAGATACAGCATCATCAGTAGACCGGTTGGGGCGGTATGCAAACTGAAGGGGGGGGGGAAGGGGTAGGGAGTCTGGACTTGATGTGGTTCATGACTAGCCTCTCGAAGCACTTCATAATAATTGGTGTGAGTGCATTGAGGCAAAACATGGCTGACTTCTTCAACACTGTTATAATAGTGGTGGATTTGAAGCATATGTGGATGACCGCCTGGCACAAGGAGAAATTAAAAATAGCTGTGAGGACGTCGGCTAGCTGTACTGCACATTCCTTGAGCACGTGCCTAGGTATATTATTGGGTCCAGCAGCCTTACGTGGATTAACTTTGGCTAGTGTCCTCCTTACATTAGCTGCAGACAGGCAAAGCACCTGATCATCGGGAGGAAGTGTGGTTTTCCTCGTAGGCACAACGTTCATTGCTTCAAATAGTGCATAGAAGTTGTTCAGCACATCTGGGAGGGAGGCATCACCGTCACTGACATGTAGTCCTGTAATCAGTAAAGGTCTGGATGACCTGCCACATGCGCTGCATGTCTCTGGTGTCCAGGAAGTGCCCATGGATTTTTTGTGCATAGGTGTGCTTTGCCTCCCTGATGGCACGGGACAGGTTGGCAGTCGGAGTCCTGAGACAGTGACGTTATCTATACACTTACTGATGTAGACAGTCACAGATACTGCATACTCCTCTAAGTTGATGAGATGCTCATAGGTAGCAGGCAGCCTGAATATATTCCAGTCTGTGTGTGCAAAACAGTCCTGTAATGCTGAGATGGCTCCATCTGGCCATACTCTGATCTGTTTCACAATCGGTTTGGCATGTTTGAGGAGCGGTCTATATGCTGGGATTAGCAAAACAGAGATGTAGTCCGAGTAGCCGAGGTGGGGGCAGGGAACAGCCTTGTATACATCACTGATGTTTAAATAAACTAATTCTAGTGTGTTCACCCCTCTGGTTGCAAAGTTAACATATTTATCAGGATAACTGACTTAAGAGCTGCGTGATTGAAGTCCCTGACAACAATGACAAAGCCATCAGGATGAGCAGTTTGCAGATGGCTGATGGCCCCATAAGGGACTCATAGCTCCTCTTTGGAGTCAGCACTGGACGGGATGTACACAGCCACAATAATAACCGCAGTAAATTCCCTTGGTAAATAGTGGGGCCGACGCTTAACCATAATAAATTCCACTAGCGGTGAGCAGTAACTAGAGACTACTGCAGCATTTCCGCTCCATTTTTTGTTTGTATAAATACACAAATCACCTCCGCAAGACTTACTGGTCTCTGAAACGTTCCTGTCCATGCAGAAGGAAGTCAGTCCATCTAGCTGAATGGCCATATCCAGAATATTGTCTTTTAGCCATGTTTCAGTAAAAATACAAAAGCAGCATTCCTTCACCTCTCGAAAGAAAAAAAAATTAAGCTTTAAAAAAGACCAGTTCCCACCAAAACAAATTCAAGAAAACCTGGTCTATTACATTTCTGATTTTAAAACTTCTGTAATGTTGTATGAATTATTCCCCCAATCTGGACTGCTTTTCTCCTGAAACAAGTTAAAAAGAAAATCACCCTTGTCCTTCAATATAATCATTTGCCATGAACAATCTCAAGAACAACATTATAGTTCATAATTACAGACAGGAAATGAAATTAAGACAGAAAATGAAGAGGCCAGAAACTTGTAATAAACTTTGTTTTATGCAAAGTTACAGAGTTGTACTAATGTTGTTTTGAATATCATTTGTTAACTGGAAGAACCAGCCAGTGACTAAAGTGAAACTCAGCGAGGCAAAGGAAACTCACCACATGGTATTTAATTCTTTTAATGTATAAATATTGTGTTCTTCAAAAAGTTTATCAATACAGTTTAATGAAAACAACCAATAAATGCATAGGCAAAAGTCATAAGGTGTCCAGGCAAATTTGTAGTTCTTTAAGTGTACAACAATTTTAATTCACATATTACAATTTTATTCATTTAAAGGGATATATAATTTTTACATATATATATACTTATACTATAACCTTGGCTTTTCAAAGTTTTCCTTCAGAATAACAAAGCTGCTAAAAATGACCACACCCAAATATTTTATGGTAATAAAAATTAGTACTTTTGCTTCCTTTTCATTATAACAAATGAACCGTCAGCACTTTAGACTTAGACTAACTTACGTTTGCCCTAGTGAAACCTGTACCACCAAAACAGAACATGATTATATGAGGTTGCAGTTATTACCAAACTAATGTTAAAATATGACATTTACATGTTTTTAAAATGGATACTTATATGATTATATTCCTGTATATATTACATATATAATACAAAATCCATAAACAATAATTTTAGTTACAAAGCTAAAAGAAAATTGAAACCACTGAATAGATTCCATTATGAACAAGGATTGACATTTAGTAGCTGGTTGTAGTAAGATGATGCATAGAGTACTTTTCCATCTAATCTGAAGCATGTAAAAAAATACCTTTGTAGTTTCAACTTTCCTTTGTTTATGTATATAACAACACTTTATAGCTTTACTCTGTATCCATTTTTTTTGTCATAAGCAAGACCGCACTTAAATTTGCATATTGTTTTAGTTACCGAGTTCGATATTATCTGTCTGAAATACGCACACAAGACAAAGCATTTTCCTGAAACAGATTAAGCAGTGAATATATCTACAGTAATTAAATAGAAATGGGGAACAAGTATAAACTTATGGCCTTTATAATTAAAAAAATGAAAAACAGCAACAGATTTTACACAACTATAACAAATAGACAATTATAATACTCCCAACAGTAATTGGTGGAAAATATTAAAGACATTAAAATATACTTTGCAAAATAGTTTTCCTTTTAAAGCAAGTAACCAGTTCAAATATTTTCAACTTGACTATTCTTGAATAATCAGTTGTCTTAAGCACTGTCATGTAGGTTTATATATAATATTCATGGAATCAAATCAAAGGTCAGAGATACCAGAATACACTTTGCAGTGCCTCTGAATTAAAATAAATGTAATGCAAGACAAACAATGTGAGATATGCACCATGAACAATTTCACAAATTACATTAATGATCAGCAATGATTAAAACCTTTTTTTAAAACCATTATTAATTCTCCCTACAGTGCACATCAGAGAACAAGTGACAAACTCTGGAAAGCTATTACGTTTTCTATGATGTCTACAGCTTGCAGTGTTAAACAGGTGCTTTTCTTGATCACCTTTTCCCACAAAAACAGAAGCAGATCAAAAGCTCACAACATTGTGAAGTAATATTGTAAAATATGTATTTTTTACAAAATAAATTTACCTAGACTCTTTTTGAGGAAAAGCATTATTAAAAAAAAGAGCTAAAAGTTTCCTTGGTTCTGCTATTGATGATACACCTTGTTTTGTTATTCGGAAGTAGTTATAAGGTCAAATTAAGAACAGACATATAAGGATATGAATCTAATATGAGCAATGTGTAGGTGAGTTCTATATTCCTTTTTAGGAACATTTAGGAATTTCAACTAAATCAAGTAAATTTAAACTCTTCAAATAAAATTCTTAAGCGTAATTCAATAGCATTTTATAAGACTGATCCAATTCAAATACAGTATTACTAGTAAACTGACTTTTTAAAAAACTTTTATACTTATATCTGTTACTTTTCACTAGAAAAGAAAATGTAGCTTACACATGACAGCTTTTAGCTTGTTTGGCTAAATGGAATCATGGCTGAAATATCAAACTACTTTCTAAAATAAGTTCCACTACTCCAGTGATCACATTGTATTTTAGCAGCAATTATTACGTCTTAGAAAAAATGGAAGTGGAATTGGCTCTACACTACTGTATCAGACAAACAAAATAATTAACTTTAAACAATGAAGAAATGCTGTTATAATGATGTTAATGTTTACCTATATCAAAAACTGTTCCTAGGGACCAAGAAGTTGAAAGTAAGAGATCATATATCTGAACTAATGTTATTCCTTTCAATTAACTGTTTTAAGTAAAATTATTTCAACACAACCAAATTAAATAAAAAAAGAACTGCACTAGCTGATCGCAGACATTACAAAATAGCAGATTTTCTGGCAAAACCACTTCAGAATGAGAAAACTCGGAACACGAGTTCTAGCGTGTGTTTTCAAGCACTTTTATGTTCTTTAGTGATATTCTGACTGGATTCGGCATTTTAGTTTGTCTCCATCTTGAAAAAGTTTTTGGTGGTCAAAAAAGTGAAAAAATTTCCCCTAGGGGTAGGTGGATGCTTTTTTTATACTCTCTGATGTTCTCCTCAGGTGACATCCTTTTATCACTGAGGCTGGCATAGTGTCAAAGAAAAAATGCAAACTAGTGAAAGGTTGGAAGGGAACTTTTATCCAATTTATCCACTTGGTTCTAAAAGAAGATGCTCACAAGTCAGAGGCTTATATTATGTATGGGTTTAACAATGTGGATCTGAAGATTCAAAATGTACTCCGTGTTTTAAACATAAATCTTCTTTCTTCTGTACTGTGCATGGCAGCAATTTTCTTTATCGTAAGGATCACAAACATCTGAGGAAAAATATTTTGAGAAGAAATACTCAGAAGAGTATCTAGAAAAAAATGAAATTACAGCAACATAAATTGTGTAAAATACTCGCTTTTGCTTTTTAAACAGGTCAATTTAAGTAATGTGCGCAGTACAGGTAAATAAGACAATTAAAACTATACCACCACACAATTTGAGGCTTAAAGACAAAAAACCTACCTTAAATCTTTATTAGCATGAGCTAGCATCTGGGAGTATTATTTTTCTCCTGCAAAGTCAAAATTTTAAATAAATATGATGTCTTACATTCTGCCTACTATATTCAACTGACTTGATAATATAGGATGCTAATAAAACAAGACTATTTGAAGAATTGTATTCTCAATGAGAGGTACACTAACCAAAATAAATTAATATAAAGTAAAAACTGAATTATTTTCTACTCATGATTAATTACCGATACGCATTCTGCAGTTATAAACCATAATATATAAAGCTATTGTTACAAAAATCAGAATTCACTTATCTGCCTACCAGGAAAAGACCTTCAGACCCAAATTTTATTATTCCTTTGTAGCATATTAAAATATCAGGATCTTCTGAACATCATCACATGTTTTGTGCATCTATGATAAGAGTCCTAGGAGCTCCCCTCACCTGCGTCTCTGAGGTAGTTCTACTCTTTGATTCATCTTTTGCTGGTGTTCCAGGATCACCCTTTGAACCCTTTAAAGGGAGTTTCCCGTCTTCCGATTCAGACAACAATGATTTCCTTTCTTTCTGGGCCTTGTGCTCTGGTTTTGTCACTCTGAATCTAAACAGGGAACAGAGATACAGAGATACTTGTAAATAGTGTATGTAGGTTACAAACTCCAGGCTTATTGCTATATAATTTATATATAATTTCTTTGACAACTTCAAAGCACAGATAAAAAAAGCCTTCTCATACCATGAGAACACAATAAAGGTGACAAACTATATGCAACCATTTGGTCCATCTAGCGTATTTAGTAGTTAATTGCAATATTACAATTCCAAGCATACAGATAATTGATCCTAGGATAAGTCTTGCATTACAAATAATATAATTAATTTACCAGATTCGCTTATTGACAGAACAGTACAAAGAAACCCCATGGAAGTCAGTTACCAATAAGAAGTCCAGCAGCAGCATTCTATGAAACCAGCTCTGGCCAGTGACCTGGTGTGGTGCCTTACATCACTCCAAGGAACAGGAATGAAACTCTGTGTGGTACTTTGATGGCACTTAGACAACTCCTCAAATCCTTGAACACCTAAACAACATGGTTTCTGTTCCACCACATCTTGAATAATCCAAGTCCAATATCAGGTAGGGGGGGAGGAAGATGATGCTGGAGCCTTCCTCACTTACTCCCTGTAGAATCTTTGGTTTGTGTGTCCTCTCTTGGGTCCAACTTTTCCAAAATCTGTTCCACAAAACTCTTCTTCCCCAAAGGTCCCATTTCTGTACTGATGAGGGTTTTTAATCTCTTTGAAACAAAGGGCTTCTTACTCTTTGACGGGAGTGTGTGGGGGGGGGGGAGATGCTTTGGTGTTTCCTCCAGTAAGTTGCTGGCCAAATAAAGCCAAGTGTGCTGATGCATTGTTTGATCAGTTCCTGTCCTCTGGCCTTATTCTCAATTAAGGTGCTAAAATAGTTTGACTGGCCCTCTAGTGTCTGAGTCACGAGGGCCTTTGATCACTGCAGGAATTCCAAGAAAAAGGCATCAAACTGAATCAACACCAAGGTGTCACTGGCCCAAACTTTGTCCAACACCCAAACTTTCCAATCTGTGACACAATTTGTTCTGAATTGACTTACCTGATAAAATGAAGGAATAAAAATGTACTTTTCAAAGGAGGACTTGTCTTCCAAGTGCAGTGTTTTATGGTCAGGACCCAGAATAGAACCAATGTTTCAGGAAAACCTCTAAGCATTCAAAACATAGTCCAAGTTTTATTCTATAATTTTAATACTACTACTAGTCATAATAATAATAATAATAATAATTATAATAATAATTGGTCACTCTTATGTAATACTTTTCATTTCAAAGGAGCTCAAAGCATTTTACAAAATAGAGCCAACACAATTCAACTAGCACTGATGTGCTGTACCCACATGCAGCCATAATATGCTTGCAGTCCACATGCAGTGCCTTTCCGAAGTATTCAGAGAGGTCCTATGGTGTCCCACAAATCCATGCATTTTCTCATCATTTCATCCAATTCAGGGTCATGGGAGGGTCATCTTGGCAAGTAATGGGCACAAGGCAGGGTACACCAGGTGGGACACCAGTCCATTGTAGTGCACACACTCAAGCCAGAGTCAATTAATCAACCCATGTTTTTGGACTATGGGAGGAAACTCATGCAAACATGGGGAGAACATGCAAACCCCACACAGGTAACGTCCCAAGAATTGAACCCAGGGACCCAGCACTGTGAGGCAGCAATGCTAACCACTTCATCATGCTATCCGGGACAAGTCATACTTCTCTAAATACAGACGATGGTATTGAATAACAAGCCTCTATATCAAATGAATGATTAAATAAAAAAACGTACACCTAATACCTAAATACCTAATTTATGAATGAGCCTTAATTATCTTTGTGGCGATTTATCAGATTCAGTTCAGTACAAATAACATGTTACCTGAAAAGTGGGAAAAACAAATCATTAAAATTAAATTGTCTATTACTAAAATGATAAATGTAATTTTTAACCAACATATTTGACAACAGCATAATTAATATATATATATAATGTCCTGATATATGGTTATTTTAAAGGTTTCTATAAATTTAACCTATGGTATCTTGTTCCTGCTTTGGTGGACTGTTAAGACTTGTACCCTTAAAAGAACTGCTTTAGAAAATTAGAAAAGTTTTGGTAGCTGGAGGTATACCATATTTTCTAAGCTTATCAATACATATTTTTGTATGTAGTCTTTATCACTGAACAGTATTAATTTAAAATATCTGTAAAACCGTGTCCAAATAAAATAATTATTGGTTATTAAATATAACAAGTAGAAAGTTAGAAGTGCTTTAATTGACACATTACATCAATCTACAGCACAGTATGGTAAATATATTTAACATTAAAAGTTAAAACAGCTACAACCACTCCTTGACGTTCTTCAGAGCATCTACCATTTTCATTCTGAATTATCCAATCATATTTCTTTTGTTTAGCTTCATCGATCTATTGTAGCACTGTCTGATTGTATGTTTTACCAAGTTCAAGTTCATTTCAATTATACTGTTGTAACAGACAAATGAGTTCTGGATCCCGAGATGAAGTGTAAACAACTGAGTTTATTGCATGCAAGGAATAATAAGACCAAAGTATTGTTCGGAATATAGGTACATAAGGTCCAGTTTATACAGCAAACTTCAGCCGTTTCCGACACAAATTGTTACCATGGCAATGGGGGGAGGTCACCTGTGTTTGGACATTCCCAAGACCTTGACCACTTTGAATGGCTGGTTTTATCTTTTCTTAGTTAGGGGGGTCTCTATCTTGTACTTGGAATCTCTTATTAGTTAACTCCCATCCCTGCCTTAACTCAAAAGTGCTTAAGCATGGAATGTCTTGTGTCACAAGAAGTCTTTGTGCGGAAAGAAATCAGTTAACCCCCTTTTCACATCTTGTATGCTATTTAGCTAGCACACAGATGGTAAACAGTACAAAAAAAAACAACAATACAATTGTACTAGAGAAAAAAAGGCAGAGACAACAGGCAATGTGCAAAATAACATCAGATGTACAAAATCATACATTAATAGAATTAAATAAAGGATAGAAAATTATGGGGAGTGAGATTCTTGACATCTGAGGTAGAGGTAGATTTCAATGTGTGTTTGAGTTTTAGTAAAGAGAGATGGCACTGTGAGGGTTCAGATCGTAGGTGAGAGAGGCTGGGAGTTTAATGCTCTGGTACCATTTTCCAGATTGTAGAGGGTCAAACAGTCTGTAGCTGGGGTGATTTGGGTCTTTGATGATGCTTAGAGCTGTCCTCAAGCACCGTCTGTCATAAATGTCCTGGATGGATGGGAGAAAAACCCCAGTGATGGATTGGGCAGTTTTCACCACCCACTGTAGGGCTTTGCGGTCAGCAATACTGCAGTTGCTATACCACACTGTGATGCAAAACTTCAAACCGAGCATAGAAGGTGTTGAGCTCGTTAGGCAGGGAGGCATCATGGGCAGGTGCACAGATGTTCTTCCTTTTGTAGTCTGTAAGGGCCTGTATACCTTGCCACATGCACCTTGGGTGGTGAAGTGTTCCTATAATTCCTGTTTGAGTATGTTTTTTGCATGTTTAAAACCATTCTTTAGATTGATCCTGGCTGACTTTAGTTCTGATTTATTTCTTGATTTGAATGCTGCAGCCCTTGCTTTAATTAAGATGTGAACCTCACTGTTCATCCATGGTTTCTGGTTAGGAAAAGTTCTTATGTCTTTTGTGAGTATACCATCATCAGCACATTTCCTGATGTAGCTATTGACTGATGATGCATATTCCTGTATGTCGGTGTGATTCCTGTGTGGCTGCCTCTTTAAACACATCCCAGTCAGTGCATTCAAAACAGTCCTGCAGGACTGATTCAGCTTTTTCAGGCCACACTTTCACCGTTCTGACCACTGGTTTCACTCGCCTGTGCAGCTGTCTGTATGCGGGGAGGAGAAATGGAGTGATGTGGTCTGAGTTTCCACGGGGGGGAGTGGTACGGCCTTGTAAGCATTCTGAATCTTAGTGTAAACGTGGTCCAGAGTGTTTTCTCCTCTTGTTGGGAAGGAGACATGCTGATGGTATTACCCAGGACTGAAATCTGAAATATCTGAGGTAATTCTGAACACATTTCTTCAGTGCAACATCCAAATTAATATTCACACTCATTGGGTACATTTTCAAACATCCTGTCTGAGAAGATTAGACAAGCTGTCTCAAAGCAACAGGAGCATAACCCTGTGGACTTTTATCTATTAAAATGTGGCATCTCAATAGGAGCCCTTCTATGCAAATGAAATCTCAGGATTCCTATACTGCATGTTGAATTGCAAAAAAGTTCTTAAAACCTACAAAACTTATAACTATGAAAGACTAAGAAACAAAACAATGGATGAAAAATTTATCTTTTATAAGATGAAACATTTATATCTGTATGTTCTAAATCAGATTTATATTCCCTTCCCTTTTTTACATGCATACCTTAGCAGTTAACTCAACACATGGAAAGAAGCCAAATTAACAAAGCACCTGAGGAGGTGTAAATGAAAGCTCTTACCTCCCCACAGAGAGAACTGTAATTTCTCCAGTTTGACTTCTCCTGGCCTCTTTTACCTTGCTGGACTGACGCATTAAGGGCCATTTCTTCTGATTACAGCGAGTACAGATATTCTTCTCTGCCACTCCACCGATAGTATGCAAATGGTTACCATAGCAGGTGTGCTTCGTAGGGCTAGCAGGGGACACCGGTGTAGCAGGAGAACTTGGTGTCATAGGGCTGTAAAATAACAACAATTCAGTAGCATTTATACATTACAATGGAACCATAAAGTCTAATTATTAAAAACACATGCTCATTTTCAGGAACCCAGTTCACTCTTCTTAAGTATAGCAGACTACTACATTTTGTGAAAAAAAGTTCTTATATACTTAGAATATTCACAGTGATAGTCCCCTATGTCATTCAGTGCAATCTCTTCGGTGCCACCATACAGAATCTAAAAATATGTTCTACAGCTTGTTAGCATGCTAGATTTCACTGATCAAGCTTAGTGATGTAAAAGTGGCTTCTCAAAGTGCTTTACAGTACATAAAAAAAAGAAACATGAAAAATACACAATGAATATACAAATATCTGGATTCAAATAATATACTTGAGAAATGCCAACCTGTTTCCACCCAGGCTACAGCACTGAAACTGCATTAGCAAGAGTTAAAAATGAGATTCTGTTAGCAACTGACGCAGGGAATGCAACAGTGCTTGTGCTTCTAGATCTCAGTGCTGCCTTTGACACGGTTGACCACTGTATTTTGTCAAATAGGTTAGGTTGGCCTAAGTGGAACCGTCCTTAAGTGGTTTACCTTCTATTTAACTAACCATTTTCACTATGTTCAAATATCTAATAATGATCCACCCACCCACACCCTGGTACACTTTGCAGAAATGGTTCTCACACTGAATGCATTCTCATTAAATAACCTTTTTAAACAGGTTAATGGAGTCGCCATGGGCACCAGAATGGGACCCAGCTATGCCAATATTTTTGTCGGTTGGGTAGAAGAAAGCTTCTTTGTTTTCTACACTACCTTTGTCCCTGACCTCTACAAGCGATACATGGATAACTGTGTTGGTGCCGCCACATGCTCCAACGACCAGCTTGAGTACTTCCTGCATCATTTCACCAACTTCCACCTGTCCCTCAAATATACAGTTAACGTATCCTCCATTACTCTTCTGTTTCTAGACATCAACTTCTCCATTAAGTACCCCCAACTCTCTACTTCGGTCTACTACAAACCCACTGATTCAAACAACTATCTCCTGTATAGCTCATTTCACCCCAAACACTAAAAACTCTCTCCTTTTTTCACAGTACCTTAGGCTATGATGACTCTGCAACAATTATATTGATTTCCAGAATCAAGCGCTCAAAATGTACTCTTTTTTTCCCCATCAACAGAGAATACCCTAACAGTGCTATTGACAGGGCCCTTGTCCGAGCCAAAAACACCCCCCGGACCATCAACTCGAGCAGGAACTCCCGCCGTAACAACCACATTCCTTTCGTGCTTCCCTACCACCCCAACACTCTATCCTCAGGGCTATTAACGACTTTTCCATCCTACAGAATGATCCCTCCATTTGGGCCCTCTTTTCTGACCATACCATCATCTCATATCGCCGAACACCTAATCTGCGTAATCTTCTTGTTCACAGCTCCTTTGACCGCCCTCAGCCACCATCCACACCAGGCATTTTCCCTTAAAACAGAGATCGCTATATCAACTGCAAGTACATATCTAACACCACACTCATTCAAGGTCCCTCAGGACAATTCCGGATCACTTAGATGACATCTTGTACCTCCAGCAACCTTATTTACTGCATCTCTTGCAGTAAATGCCCAGCCATCTACATTGGGGAAACAGGAAGGAGACTCAGAGACCGCTTCAGAGCACATGTTAGCGCTGTGAAGATAAAAGATTTCTCCAAGCCTACCGTTTCTCATTTCACCTCTCATGGCCATGATCACACTAATCTCTCTGTCTGTGTTCTCAAAAATGGTTTTCCTAACTCCCACATCAGAAAGACTACAGAAACTAAAATGATCCAGCAGCTAGGATCACACCTTTCCCCTTCTCTCAATGACAGACTCATTTTCTTCTAAATTCTCTGTATTTATTGTTGGTTTCATTTCACACCTCTCTTCACCTATCCTGACTTCACACTACCTGATTAGCCACTCTGTCTGTCCCCTCCCGCCACTCCTCTCTACCAGCTTTTGTTCTCCTACGCTACATTACCTTTGCTTACTGCCCTGTCTTTCTCACACCTGAAGAAGGCTCCATGGCCGAAATGTTGTGTTTTCTTTCTTCTCTTTAATAAACCTATTACCTGTTCCTTTGCATTGTACTACTTTGTCACTCTCACCAGTCAAATATGGGGTACCACAGAGATCAGTGTTGGGACCAGTATTGTTTTCAATGTACATGTTGCCACTAGGTAGGATAATATGAATGCATAATATTAACTTTCATTCCTATGCTGATGACACTCAAATATACATTTCATTTACACCTAACAACAACTCATCAATAGTCACTTTTGCTAACTGCATTAATGAAGTAAAGTCTTGGATGTGTGAAAGCTTTTTGTCACTCAACTCTGATAAAACTGAGGTTCTGTTGTTTGGGGGCAACAGTATGGAGAGGACTGCTATATTCTTAGCACTCAACTCTGGGGGTTTAAAATTATGCCTGAAAGATTCGGTACATAACCTAGGCGTCATCTGTGTGTCTCCGTGTTTGCCTTCCAGTTAGATACATCTGTTCTGACCAAACTATCGTATTCTCTTCCCCACATGTCCGGATGATCTGAGTTGGATGCTGCATCATTGCCATGGAAGAAGGACATTTATGGGACTACAGAGATCTGCATGGAGTACCAACACACAGAAGACATGATGGAGGCTTAATACTCCACACTTAGTACTTTTTTAAAATTGTATAATGTTAGCATGCCCAGAGAGGTTGGGCAGCCAGGTGACTTTGGACCCCTAGAGGTTTTTTTCTCTTTTTTGTTTTTTTTTGGCAGTTTTTGGTTCCTCTCCTCCGTTATCTTCTGACTTTTTCTCTATCTGTATTGTAACATCATGTATTGTCACAAAGCTTTGTTAAGTGCCTTGTGGCAACCTTGTTGTGAAAGGCGCTATGTAAAAATAAATTGAATTAAATTGGACAAATGAGGTTGTAGAAGGGGGTAAAGAATGTAAGAGCAAAGGGGCACACAGTTAAGTAAAAGCCCTTCTAAAAATGAAGGTTTTGAGTCTTGATTTGAAACACCTCAGAGAAGGTGACTCTGTGATATCCTTTGAGATAGAGGGCATAGCTTTGGGGCATAGCAGGAGAACGCCCTGTCACCTAAAGAGTGTAGACAGGATAGAGAGACAGATAGGAGACCACAATTAGGGGAATGAAGGCTGCAAGATGGGAGTAAGATGGTAATAGGTCAGGTAGATACTGAGGTACTAAGCCATGCAGGGCCTTATAGGTAGCAACGAAGATTTTGAAGTCGACACAAAACCTGATAGGAAGCCAGTTTAAGGGCACCAGGATAGGACTTATCTGATCACTTTCACAAGATCTGGTCATGATTCTGGCTGACTAATTCTGGACAAACTGTAGTTTGTTCAAAGTGGATTTAGATCCACCAACAAGTAGAGCTTTGCAGTAGTCAAAACAGAAAGTGTGGACCAGCTTCTCAGCAATAGTTAGCGGCAACATTGGTATTATTTCTGAGGTTGAAGAAAGGTGTTTTGACAATATGTTTCACATGTGGTTCAAATGTCAAGGCTGGATCAAATATAACACCAAGCTCTTACATGTAGAATGAAGCTCAAGTACAGTACAGTCCACATATAGGGTTACTGCATTGGCTTTAGATAATTGGTGGGTGTGCCAATAAGCATGACTTCAGTCCTGGTGCAGCCTAGATGAAGGACATTTAGTGTAATCCATGTTTTTATGTCAGTAATTTTATGTCATAGAGAGAGCAGAGACGGCTACATCAGTGTCAGGTTTGGAATGGACATAGATTTGAGTATCATCAGCATATAAATGATCATTTAGACCATGTGATCTTCATACAGTAGCTGACCAAGTGGGAACATGTAAATACTGAGGGGTGCCCAATATTCAGTCCTGTGGAACACCAGATGTAAGACCAATTTCAGAGCTACAAACCACCAAGAGAAACAAAGTGACAGCAATCAGTAAAGTAAGACTTGAACTATTTAAGAGCAGTATAGGACACTCCAAATACAATCTCAAGACAAAAAGTAAGATATCATGGTTAACAATGTCAAAAAGCAGCACTAAAGTCTAGAAGAATATTCAATACAATAAAATCATACTTGTTATTAAAAATAAAACATGGAAATATTGTAACAACTTTTTAACTGCCCATAAGCAGTTATACAAGAACATAATTTTATGCTATTACTGTTCATGTCAGGTGTAGACATCAGAGTCTTCAGAGGGCTACTACTCAGAAAACCTAACATAAAGAATACATGACTGGGCTACGTTCAGTGGTTTCCCAAAAGTTACTAAACTTTTTGTAATAGCACAGTTATCAAGTAACTTTCATATTGAAAAGTGCAGTTAGTGGACAGCAATAACTTTAGACTTGGATGAGGCTACATCACAAAACACACTTCTAAAGATTTCCTACTGCTTCTTTTCATTCAGATCCAAGTCAAAAAGCATTATTGCATTTGAAAAGGACATTTCTAGTCCAGGTGATTAGGAACACTGTTTTTAATTTAGAAGTGATTTACAGTATTTCCCATCATCCATTTGGATCTTGTTAAACTATAATATGTAAAAAAGCTAAAAAGTAGTTAACATACTCTTACAAAAGTATATTATTGGTGATATGAGCTATAAAGCATCATCAGATCACTGATTTATAAATAATGCATCATAATCTGGTTTAAACTACTGAAAATATACTGTAAGTGTGTGTGAAAGTCTAAAGAGATGCAGCTAAGTGAATACAGAAACTCTTACCTTTCAGGATCAATGCTGTTATCGTCGAACATAGCATTTAATGCCTCTGAGTTCGCTATGAAGAAAGTAAAATGAGCACGTTTAAATAATCAGGTGCAGAAAAAGAAGAAAAATGAATTTTTCCACTACCAAATAAAACAGAACTACATGTCATAGCTAGGTTCCTTTTTCTGGACTGAGGAACAAAAGAAAATAAAGTAAAAAAAATAAATGGGTTATAAAAAAATAGTTCTAAACTAGCATAAAAACAAATGAATGCATGTATTTTATGTATTTTCAAAATTTAGTGCATAAATTTGTACATCTTTGTTGCAGTACATATCACTAAACAACTATGATGCAGAACCTAAATTTCCCTCTTTCCAGCTGCAAGCTTGCTGCCAACTGCAAGAGGAATTACAGTTAATAATGTATCAAACAGATTATCATTAATCAAAATAATATATTACTAAAAAGAAAAATGTAAATAATTTTACCAATACTAAAAGGTTCATGATGTATATACATCTGCCTGCACAACATTTTAAACATTTATCCACTTTTCACAAAGCTTAATTTTAAAACTAAATTTAAATATACAAATATTTTTCACAGCAATCTTGATATTGATGGTAAAAGGGTAAACAAAACTGACACTGAGAAAACTGAAGAGGTGCAATTGCTGAGACTTTGAAAATGTTAAATAAATCACCTCTGCTTTTTGAGAGACCCTATGGTTCTTCGTCAGAAAGTATGAAAATAAAGCTACATGAAACTGTGCTCAACTTGTAAAGTGACTCAAAAAAAGCTTTGAGCACTTAGTGTATTGAGTGTAACTGGTGGGTGAGTTAATTATTTGATTTGATTAAGATTTAAGTGTCTTGTATTTCTAATTTTATTTTGTATATCAAGTAAAAATCTTCAACCAGAAAGTCCCATAAAAACTGCAAAATGTATTTTCTTAACCTACACTAAATTTCTTTTCACTGTCATATCATATATTTCTTCCAATCCTTCTTCAAAACCCTGTTTCTTGGCTCTTACTACACCCTTTCAGTGTCAGACACAAAACAAAACAGGACACAGAGCTGAACACAGTTCTGTAACTAATAATCTCTGGATTCTTGAAAGTGACTCATTAATCCATTTTACTTCCAATTCACCCATACCATCTTAATTGCTAAAGCAATAGGAAGAATGTCAGATGTTTTTCTACACTTATGAACAAATATGAAGTAATAGCATCAGGATGTAAAAGACAATTTACATGGCACATTCATAGGTAATGGAAAGCACTCACACTCACAGGAAAGTTCATGTTACACATGTCCAAAGAGATAGAAACATATTCCTTTAATTTGATCTTTGTTAAAATATCTATCATGTTCTGAAATTAAGAATTAAAAATGTACACTACATATAGCTGAGTAAATTTCTCTTCCTCTCTTAGATTTTTCTATTTAGTAAAATACAGCTAGTGGACAAAAAATGTAAACACCTTGGCAAATGAGGGATGCCAATTACAAGGTGTCCCCATTTAGAGACAGGGTGAGGGACCACAAAATTGAGATGCAAAATTAAACACTAATTGGGAAATTTTCTCAGTAGGAAATAATGTAATTAAAGGAGGATAGGAACCATGATAGAATCATGCAGATGGCACCCTAAATGGGATGATTTTCCCATAATGTATAATGGAACAGACAGTAATGCAGTGTTTCAATTACTGTATGCACAGTAAAGTTAATCCATTTGATGTTTCATGAAAATGTCTTAAAAATATAAATACAAAATTGTTTTGTCATCCCTTAAACAGTATAGAGATTACATAAAACGTAATTAATATCTTTTTAAAGAATTATGTACAAATTATCATTGAAATTTCAATATTAAGCTTACAATGTTCATTATCCATTTTTGTCAACTATTTTATTCAATACGAAGTTGCAGCAGAGCCTGAACACAGAAAGCAACAGCCAAAGAGTGGGATACACCCTGGAAGAACACCAGTCCATTGTAGGGCGCACACACTCACGCCGGGAACAATATTCCCAGAAAGCAATTAACTTACCAGTATATGTTTGGACTGTAGAAGGAAACTGGAGCACCCTGAGGAACCCACACATACACAAGAAGGCCATACAAACTTCACACAGGTAACACCCCAGGTCCAGAATTGACCCAAGGAACCCAGTTATGCGAGGCAGCAATGCTAACCCACTGCACCACTATGCCACCAAAACTAAATCATTAGAAAGGAAATTGTTTTTTTATAACCATCAGTACTATGACTTAATGTTCACAGTTTTCTATTTAGCTTGGTCACATCTAATTTTGTATGAATACCAAGATTAATTAACCATTAACCATTTTATTAATTATTAAGATTAACCATTTTTTAAGAATAAATCACTAATCACTTGAAGTTCTCTTTCCACTCATGATTTTAATGATGGCAAATATATTTTAGGTAACAGGAATAAAAAGCTTGAATACATGAAAGGGGGACCCTGAAGTGTTACTTGGGATGCTCCGAGTGGTCATGTCATAGTTCCGATAGTGGCGCATGGCGTAAAATTCAAACATAATTCCAAGAAATAACAAGTAACTCGGTGAACAATGTTAGTTGGTGGATTTTTAACATCAAATACTTCAATTGATCAGCAATGTCTGTGTAAAAAAACATTGAACAGGGAGACACTGAATGGTGACCGCCTGTATACTGAAAGCAAAAGCTTTCATACATGTGTAGTTCATGCATTAACTAAGCAAATAATATTCCAGCACCCTTAGGATCATACATTAAAATGCTTGACAGATACTATAATTATGGCTAGCATGGCAGAAAAGGAGTCCATGATGGCTGCGATGGAGGGGTAGGTGGTTCAGAGTAGGAGTTGATTGTGCTTGGAATGGAAATTTACCTATGCATTAGCAAAGTAATATTAGATTGCTTTTATAAAATCAGCTGAAACAACAAAAATAAGTTGTTTTTTCAGGTAAAGAATAGAATGTGCATTTTAAGACGGTTAATGGCCAGCATATATTTTGTCAAAAGCACATGGGAAAGAAAATGGACTATGTACTGTAGTATAAGACTGGAAGAGGTTACTGCTGACATGCTGGCCCCCAGGGCTCTGCGGGACATGATAGCATTGAGGTGGCAGCCGGCCTCTGCTACACCCACCAGTCTCTGAGCGCCAGTTGCCACGGATGCCAACTAACAGGAGATCCAGATTGTCGCGGTGTACTTAGGAACTGTTCGGTCTCTGTTCTGGGCCTGTTCTAGAGTTCTAAACACTCAGTCTCCCAGGCTTTGTACTCTGTATCCTTAGCTTTGTTTTGTGTTCTGTGCCTTGCTTTGAATTTCTGACCTCACTTTGTTTTCCTGGCCATGATTACTGGATCTTTCTCTGTCCTGTTTTCATTTTTTATCTCTACTTTCCATCCATATACAACCTGGATCACCAACTATAAGAAAAATATGCAGAGGGGCAGACTCTCAAGTATTTTTGTTTAACATGCGTTCTGGTGGGAACAAGTAAAAAATCATAAAATGAAGCTTTTTCCAAGATGTAGGTAAACAAAGAAAGCTAAAAGAGTGATATGTGACAAGAGGCCTAGTAAAATGAAGAGCAAACAAGTTAGAACAGGAAGAAGAGTACTTATTGTTCTTTTTAAGAGAATTTCAGTTTTGGGGGATTTAAGTGTTGGATGAGTTATTGCAGGATGAAAGACTAGAGATCTAGATAGGAAAAAGATAATTTGGGGAAAGCTGAGGAATACACTGATAACAAGATCACTTCCTAATAGGGTTAGGCATACTTTTGACAAAATGACAGTAGATGTATAGACTGCAGAGGAAGATGATGAAGTTTACAGACTGTATGTTTACATAGATACTGAAATGAGGATTGTATTTTAGATTTTGTGTAATTGCTAGCATTGAACTGTGTGTTGGATGCACATGAACTGAAGGAATGGGCAAACATGCTGATCTTCAGAGCCAGCATCTTAAGATGTTTACATTTAGAGGATATTTGTTTTAATAAATAACTAGGCATGGATACTGATGTGCAAGAGAGGTGGAAAGGCTGTTTCCTTAAGCCAGCACTATAAAATAATTTATCCTCAGTGTGATGCTGCCATCTCACAGTGGGTTTCTAACGCTGTGTATAGTTCCATCAACACGGTGCCTTTACTTCCATCCATTTTCTAATCTCTTTATCCAGTATAGAGGATTTGGATCCTATCCCAGCAAGCAATGGACGCAAGGCAGAAATACCCTGGACATAGTGCCAGTTCATCACAGGACATATGTGTATGAATATAATTATATCGTTATCAATTTCTTTAGATACACGATTCCATATTATATTCCCTATTAATCAAATTCTAAAAAGTATGTGTTTTTTTACTGCAATAACGAGCGTAAGTATTCACAGAAAAGGTTAAAACATTATAACTTTTCACAAAGTAAGTAAACTTAATATAGTCAGAAGGAGCATGCAAAAACTTTTCCAAAATAACCACAGTATGTAACTGAATGAAATACTTTGATGCTTAAAATTTTTAGGGAAGAAAGCGGAATACCGGTGTGTATTTTTTATTTAAACTACCAATACTAACCATATACAGTTTACATAATATTTTGTATGTTCCTAAATTAATAGTTTATGACCTTTTTATGCTCAGCTACTAAAATTACCCTTTAGTTGTAAAATTCCATATAAATATTCAATATTTAGAGGATTAAAACAAGCACAGTAAAGAGATTAAATGATTAAATTGTTTCACTAACAACCAATGCACCACGAGTGCCCCTCTCAGTCATTTTGGCCAGCCAAACCACATACTGCAGTACATTGCTGTGAACTGTGGGTAATTTCGCACAGTACAGGGTTGTACTGTGCATTTTGAATTGCTGCATCTGTATAAATGCTAGAAAAAGTATTTTACCTACCTTCATTCTTCATAATGTAGTCTACAATTTGTCCAACTGTATCAACATTGCATTCACTGAAGGTATCATTCATATCTGTAAAAAATATTGATGAAGTGTCAAAACGTGAAAATTTCAATTAAAATTCTGAATGAACACTAAATAATTCACATAGAATTTTTTTACTTTTAAAATAATGCATTGCTGTATAATTAGTACATAATCAATTAATCTAATATTCCTTAAAGCTTGTACAAAACTTTCTAATTCTTCTTCTAAAGTATTTGTTAATATGCCATGATTATATCAGCATATTGGAAAACCTAACTAGTTTACTAATTATATCAGAATCTACATCATTGATAAAAACTTTGAATATCTGTGGGTCCAAGGAATATCCCTGCGGAATTTCAATAAATATATCGCCCCACTTTTAGCATTCATCCATCATCTGCACTCTCCATTTGCTACTACCCTATTCACATTTCAAACAAATAATAAAATAATAATAATAATAATAATAATTGCTTACACTTATATAGCGCTTTTCTGGACACTCCACTAAAAGCACTTTACAGGTAATGGGGACTCCCCTCCACCACCACCAATGTGCAGCATCTATGATGATGCGACAGCAGCCATAGTGCGCCAGAACGCTCAACACACATCAGCTATTAGTGGGGAGGAGAGCAGAGTAATGAAGCCAATTCATAAATGGGGATTATTAGGAGGCCATGATTGGTAAGGGCCAATGGGAAATTTGGCCAGGACGCTGGGGTTACAACCCTACACTTTTCGAGAAACGCCATGGGATTTTTAATGACCACAGAGAGTCAGGACCTTGGTTTTACGTCTCATCCGAAGGACGGCACCTGTTTACAGTATAGTGTCCTCGTCACTATACTGGGGCATTAGGACCCGCATGGATCCAGCAGCAACCTTAGATTTTCCCAGGTCTCCCATCCAGGTACTGACCAGGCTCACACCTGCTTAGAGTGATATGGCTGCTGGCCAAACACATTTCCCTGTGCTACCATCTATCAATCACCTGTGATTAACCAGAAAATTAACCTTGTATGAAGAAATGTATGAAGGCATTATGAAAACTGAAATACAACATACCATATGTTCTGTCTGTAACTATGTAACTATTAGTATTGCTGTTTGTTTAAAGAACCCTAAGAAGGTTAAGCAAGTCAAATTATGTACTGTACAATTGGTAGGATAACATTGCGCCCATGTATCTATTAATATTGGCTGTATTCTAAACTACACATATTTAACCCAAGAATGCTAATTGACACACGCTCCTTTAGATTTTTTTTTTTCCCCCAAAAGAGGAATGTTATGATATTCTTCTGTTGTTAAAGTCATTGCTACCTTGGATGGGTCAATGTTATTGCATATTAGGGCAATATTGTTCACAAATGAACATACTATCTCGTAAAAATGCGAAACGTTTTTTTGTTTAAATGCAATATTATGCGTTTCAAATTCAATTTGTTCTCCTGGCGCTAATAAGCTTTCATAAACTTGTTCTGCATTTCAAGTGAGATCTGTTTTAACTGTTACCATCCATTCCCCACTAATTCAATATCTATGTTATCATATTGTAGTAGCAAGGCTTATTAAAAATACAGGAATTAAGTTTGCTGCTCCCTTGCCAGTCCCTCTGTCCTTCATCTCAGTGGTGCTGGATACAGAGAGGCCATTCCATTTGGTTCACATTTAAGGTGTTTTTCTAGATGATTGAGCTTCCTGATAAGGAACAACTCCCAAGGCTGAAATTCTCCAGCTACCCTAATAAATGGTCATCTCTGGTGCTTTACTGTCTGGGAGATTCCAAGGGAGAGTCTCATCCTAGGTTGTTTACATCCCTAATGTCAGAGAGCATGATTACTCATCTTCCATCTCAATCAGCCAATCAGGAACTGGTAGGGCAGGGTAACCCCACGTGGGTCTCGAATGCCCACGGAACTTTCAACCAATGAACAACCGTAGTTCCTCCAGGTAAAACAGGCAGCACAGGGCTCCTCCGTGCCCCTCCTGGACTCTTATTTCAGGTTGGGTTGGAAACCATGTAACGGCCAGTGTGACTGAGTGTCAGGACTTTACTTTATTCTTAGAGTCGAGAACGGAGGTCTAGAATGTAAGAATTTAGATACAACAGGTAACACCTGGCTTGTGCCAACATTTCCAGCTTCAAAGCAAAGGGATGTTTGGTTGAGATATAGGGCTTTCAGATACACTGATCAAAGCAATCGTAAAGTTTACCGTAGTAAATGAAGTTCTGGGTAAATAATTAAATGTCAATCAACAGTCCAGAAAGACACCAAATAAGAGAATAGTGAAACAGAGGGGGAAAAAAGACAACAGACAAGATGACAAGAACAATATCGGAGGAGAGAGTTCCTTGTTCTAGATCACCTGGGAAGACCAGATTGAAGCTAAGTATTTGGACCTTGTTAAGAGGACTTGCTATTCTGCATATTTTTAGGGAACTCTTAATTTCCCATGTAAAGAATCTCCCAGTTAAAAATGACCTCACCTGATAAGTGGGTGCATTTTTAAAATATGGAGTTTTTTAGATAGGAAGGTTACCATTCATTTGGTGGCATCTGAGTTTGCATAGAGAGATTTTTCTGCAGGTTGTATTCTATACAGTTTAGAACACAACTTCTCTTATTCTTGGCTTTTGTTGACTAAATATATAAGAGGCCTCTGGGGCACCTTAATTCTAATATTTTACATATGGTAACTTATGTGTTGTATAAGCTGTGTGTTGTTAAGTGTGTGTGTTGTCACTGTTAAATAAATATTTAACTAAATGCACCTTTATTATTACTGTGCCAAAGAACCAAGAATTTGTGTGTGTTTAACTACACCAACTACTCACGTATATTCTTGGCAAAATCTTTAGAAGTTGGGTGTTATGATTATTTATTTTACTTATTGATTAATTGACTTTGTCAGTTCCTGATGTTCTCCATTACTATACCCCCCTATTTGTAAATATATACAGCAAATAAATTAGAAATACATTTTAAATAATTTATAAAAACTGTACATTTTCATACTTAAACTATAAAACACAATATTCACAGAAAAAATAAAAGTAATAAAATAAATTGAGTGCTTCTCACAAATGTTTGCTTTAAGGATTACCCACAATTTGAAATGAAAAAGTGCACGATAAATGCACTGAAGTGCAAGATAAATAAACAGATGGAACCATTCAGATTGTGTGTTGGATGTATTTCAGTATGCAGCAGCATACTGAAATATCATTCAGGACACTAAACTTTATACAGGCCAAAGAAGATCAATAGGTGGCACTTGTGGTGTAAATAATAATGTGTTTCACTACTGATATTCTTTAAATCAGCTTAACAGGGAATATTAATATGGAATTGTGTAACTAAAGGGAAACTTTGGTATCTAAAACTAAAAATAACCCAAGTATACTAACACTTCTAAACATCAATAACAATATTAATTTAATAATAAATAATTAAAATATTATACATGTAAAGCAGGGAGTTATACATAAAAATAGCATATAAGGTACACAACAATATTCCACCGTCTTCATAATCATTTCCTGCATCAACATCTTTAACTCAGTCAATTTGTTGTGGTTATTTTAGAAGTGTTGACATACTCCTTTAACTACATCTGGTGAAGTGGAAAATCAAATACAGATCAGTGTGCCAAAATTGGTGGCTCAGTGGGTTATTTTCCTGTAAATTGTATAATACCACTTAAAATACGATAACAAATATTTATATTTGCCTTTATGGAGTATTTTCTAAAGGTTTGGACCACATTAAAATGTTTCCTGTATTCTCTTTTTGGTGTATACAATTTTGTAGGGGTTCCACATAATTTACTTTTGTTCTTAGAACATTATTAAACAATGAAAGGAAGTGCAAAGGAAAAGAACATTAGTTCTTGCATGAATATAAACAGCTGTACTTATTAAAGCAGCTTCAAAAAAGGTTTTTTCAAACTAAGAATATACAACAGTGAAACATTGGTTCTACAAAATCTAATCACAGCACACATTTCATTTCTGCTGTGAAAAATACCTTCAGAAGAGAGATCTGTTTTTTTTCAGCTATAGTTAGCATGAAATTAACAATTTGAATCAAGACAGTGAACAATATAAAAAAAACATTTTAGAATATGAAGAAAGTAAGAAACAAGATGTGAAAAGATGTTACAATATGCCAAGAGGAATCTCTTGTGGAGATATTTTAAACTAAGTTGTTTTTTTTCCATAAGAAAGCTTTTCCTGGAAGATAACATTTCAAGAAACAGGGAAGTGTACATCCCCTTGTATTTATTATCATCTTTGCTTAGATTGCTTTACTCTTGTCTAGAAAAACATAATGACTCACAATGTATTATGCAGAAAATATTTATTACTGGTGTCACTGAAATCTGATTTAGAAATAATTTAGTGAATTAAATGGTTGCAACAAAATGCCCCCTCTGTAGGTGAGCTCTTACTAATTGAGAAGGAATGTTACACAACCATGGGGCTATTTGTATTACACATGAACAACACATCTTAATGGAGAGTCTATTTTTAATATGTATAAATATTATTTAATTACTTCATAAATTACTTAGAAGCATAATATTTATACATCGCAAACAAAGCACAGTACTGCCTCTATGCAGGCAGGTGAACACAAATGATCAAAGGGAATATCCTAGGTTAATAATAATAATATAGACGAAACAGAGAGGAGAGGCAGAAACTGAACATAAGAAAGAACAACTGATCAGAATAAGTTTCTTTTACTTGGCACTGTCTTGGAGACCATATTATATCTTAGTAATATGAACCTTATTTATTTGGGGAAATTCTGATTTCCTTATCTGTGGGAACCAAAAACGGATAAGGAAATCAAAATCGAAAAATTCTCTCCTAGTTTGTTATGCATTGTTAGAACAGGGAAATAGATTCTCATTCACTTTGAAACATTCAGATTTTAGAAAGGGAAATTTAGCACTGAGTTGTACTCTGTTAATTTAGGAACCAGGGCATATCTCCTGTTGGAATCTTTAGGCGTTATATAGGATTTCAGATTGGTTAGCAGTCTGGGTCTTAAGAAAATAAGACTGAAATACAATAATTCTATAAAGAGCATTCTGTTTTATGTTGTTTTCTTTAGTCTGTGTTATTGTTAATAAAAAAACTGTCCTAGTTTGCCTCTCATTTATTATTCTTTCATCAGAGCTGTGCCAGAGAATAAAGAAATCATGCGCCAGCACTATCAAGCCTCAAGTTACATCAGTAATGATTAAATGATTAAATGATTAAATGATTAAATGTAGGGGCTTTTAATCATTTATTTTAATTATTGTTTATCCTGCTGTATTTTCTATTTTCATTACACCTCATATGTTATTTTATGATTGCTCAAACAAAGCACTGTAATTAGCATACATATAATACAGAATAGAAGCAAAATGTGCTAAAAAAAAATCACACCACATTGAATAGCTGAAATCAAGAGTAAAACTAAATTTGACAATAAAAGCTCTGTTGGGAACATAATACTTTAGCATTGTGATGTTGTATACAAGAGTTCACCCCTTCCGTGGATCTTGGAGTAAGAAGACATGAATCAGCCATAACCTGCCAATCTCAAATTAACAGCAGAATTGTATTCATATAATGAATCCTTAAAAACTAGAGCTAAGCTGTTCATTCCATTAAATGTGAACAGGAGAACCATGAAGTCCATATGATTTCAGTGGGAGGAAGTGCACTTTACGAGTTATGTATTGATGCGGAGTATTTTCAGCTTTCAGATGAGCTGTTTTACTGAAAACTGCTGTAACATATTGGCAAGTATTTCCTGACCTAATCAAAGATTCTCAAAAAGGCTTTTATAATTGTAGATATTCCTCCGATATTACTTAACAATTAATACATCCTACAGCTTCATCCCAAGATAATCTAGATAATTTTTAAGCTCTTTTGACTTTTTAATTGTAAGAATCTTTTTAAAACAAGAATATCTACAACTTAAATCAGAATGCCTCACCTCCCATAGTGTCAGGATCTTTTTCAATTTCAGTTTCTTCTTCAGAGTCTGTGGTGCAACGATATCCTTTACGTTTTAAAACATGGCAGATCAGGACCCCAAACAGGCCCAGGAGGAAGAAGATCGGCACCAACACAAAAGCAACATATTCAGGGTTGTTTTGGGCATTTTCCTCCTTTATTCCATCCGTTGAATTTGCTAGAAAAAAAGAAGAACCATCAAAAAAAAATCTATAGTAAGTTTTTCAATAACAAAGCCTTTCTACCATAATGAAATGCATCTTTTTTATTTACTTTTCTAATTTACAAAAACTATTTCTCGGCATATTGTTAATACAGGCTACACTATTGTAAAGCTTCAATTGATATTAAATTCTCTAACAAATAAAACCCAGACATTCTCTCCAGTAGTCATAGATCTGTGACTCCATTTTCTAACCACTTTAACCAATACAGGGTCACATTATCTAGGCAATGTCAGTCCATTGCAGGGCACACACAGACAGACATACACGCTCAAACTCACACCAGGGCCAGATTTCCCAAAAGCTATCAAACCAACCAGTATGTCTTTGGACTGTGGGAGAAAACAATAGCACCCGGAGGAAACCCATATAAACACAAGGAGAACATAGAGTACTCGTTGATAGAACACCAAGTCTGGAAGACAGGGCACCAGCACTGCAAGGAAGCAATGCCAACCATTGCGCCACTGTGGTGCTCTACAGCTTGATCTTAGATCTTAAATTGGTCACAGTAATCATTGTCACTGAGAGTAAATAAGTCTGTATTATGTAGGGATTTCACAAATCTACCAACACATGTGCTTTGTTTCAAATAAGGAAGCGAGTTATACCAGTTCAACAAGGTGAGCTCCTTTCCAGAGATGTACTGAATCTCATTATAGTCAACTCATGAGCAATCAGCAAAGTTCTTGGTTTAATCATGTGTAAAACATTCCACAAGGCAGGTGCTGACAGGCGAAAAGTACATGTGAAATAAAAACCAATTGGAAACATTTTATACAAAAGTTCTTCTTTTTTTTACATAGATCACTTTACCACATTCAGAAAAGGCTATGAATTTCTCTTTTTGCCTATCCCTGGACAGATATTAAAAAAACACAAATATTTAAAAAGTGGATTTTCAATTAATGAAAAACTAATGGCTGCTTAAGCTTCAATTGCTTCTGGTAAGAGTACAATAAGAATTCTATTACGTCCATAACCTTGCAACAATATTAATCCCAGAATTGGATTTGAAATGAAACAATGACTATGAGGTTAAAATGCAGAATGTCATCTTAGGAGCCAGTCTATGTCAGGAATAAAAAATGGCAGCTTCACTGCACTGCCATCGATAAACCTGAGTAATGTTCAATTTCTCAGGAGCAAAGTTGATGAACTACAAGCAAGTGTCAACTACCTCCATGAGTAAAGGGGATGCTGGTCTACTGGCATTTACAGAAACTTGGCTCACAGACTCAGATTTGAACACGGACCTGATTAGTGATGGTTTTAGCACCACCCTAAGGCTTGACTAAGACCGCACAGTAATAGGAAAAAAACACTGGTGGAGCGATTTGTCTGTAAATCAACAAAAGATGGTGCAACAACATCAAAGTGTGAGAGAGGCTCTGTTTGCCCAATGCTGAGTTGCTGTTGTAGTGACAGAGCCTACTCTTTCACTTACAGTAATTAAGGGTTATTAAAAACCCCAACCTGGGGCCTTTCTTTAAATGCAGCAGAATATTGTAAAGCTGTATCAATCGTGTAAATTTAATGATAGCACAAATGTGCTCCATTAAGTTTCCAGGCTGGTTTCATCCCAAAACCACAGGTCAAAGGTCAATATCCAAAGGAAAATCCACCAATTGGGGATCTGTAGGGTGGGTACCAGAACCAAACCTGATGTGATCTAGGCTAATAACCAATTTGTGATACACCCCATATAAACTGCAACCCAGTTAATTTTCACCACTTAACCACCGACTCTCCAATCTCTCTCCATCTAAACTGGCAAACTAACTTTTCCAACCACGTGACTGCAAACTTTTCTCCAAGAAGTCAAACACAAGGTTTCAGCTACTCTTTTCAGGATGGAATAAACCTTCACTTGTTCCCATATAGGTAAATGGTTTGAATTTAGAATCGAGGGATGTCATGCAAAAATTGTACACTGTGCTAGTAAATCCTCCTGTAGAATACAGTGTGAAATTTTGATCAACACATTACCAGAAAAAGATACTGTACTGTGTTGATCTGGAAGCAGCTGTGGGAAGAGATACTTCCCAGAATTAAATGTTTATTATGCTAGAAGAAATTAAACATTTTAAACCCAGTTGACATGTGAAGAACGTGCAGTGAAACAAAAACAAGAGATGATGAATGGAAAATATACAGTCTGGTTACAGGCACATATTTTACATAGAAGGTTGGAACAACCATGTTGTTGAAGACAACAACCTGGACTCTTTCAAGAAACAGGCATATGAAATCATCAGATTACTTAGCTACCAGCAACCAACTGAGCTACAAGGACCAAACAAATGTCCTTCTCTTGTACCTTATGTTCATATGAATATCAGCCCCATGTCTTTTTTTCCTCAGTCAAAAATAAGTATTTCAAATTTAACTTTATTAGGCCAAATATGTATTAATAATATGGGGGAGGCTCCATCTCATCCATTTCATAAGGCATTTACATACACATCTCACATGCTGTAAACTTAGTGCAATGTGCTGGGCATTAGTCTTGAGCCTAAGTGTGCGATTCTGTTTTGCTTTGCCTTGTTAAATGCTCACCAGATACAAACTCATTAAGCCAAACTATCTTTCCTCTCCACATTAGATATTATTGTTAATACTTATTGATAAACTGGTCTCTGATTAAATAAAAATAACAAGGATTATTAGTGGGTCAAATGCAAAATAAGACGTTAGTGTCCAGTTCAATTTAAATTATGATTTAAAAATCCTGTGAAAAATGAGGATTCATCTCTCAATTTCAGAACCACTTGGCCAGAAAACGGTAGAAACATCAGATCAGTGATTATGGTAACGTTAACCACGGATATACCATCGCGTAAAACACCGTTTAACTTAGAATCATTAAAAGAACACAAATTTAAAACAAAATACGAAAAACGACTTTCGTGCACTCTTGCTTAGCGACACATTCCACCTAAGAAGCACAAAGTTAAAACATTATACCTCATGTCCACCTTTTCTTAAGTTTACTTAGTGCCCAGCCTCAACTCATGAACTCAACTAACGCTTTTTAAGTTACAGTTTTAAGAATTGTTGATGTAACAAAGTTTAAATAAATTATAGGTAGCTGCAGATCGGACACAGTTTACGGAGTCTTTATGTCCATTCAACTTAAGTATTTACTTTTGTTACAAGACAGCAGTCTGTTCCAAGAACAAATATCGTTTTTGTTTTCCTGTTTTTTCAGGGACCACTCAGACCGAAAACATTTACGTATCGCTCAACTGACTAGAGCTCCGCGAAAACTACGTTTGACAGAAGATACTTAAAGAGGGCTTCCCAACAATGAAGTTAAGGCTATACTGAGTGACGTAAAAATTAAATGCGTTCTCTACTTTCAACAAACACGATATCCTTAAAAAACTTACCAGAAACATGCAGTTGTCTCAAACTTTCCGTTGTAGTTAAGTCAGCCATGAAACACACAGCCCAAGTGTCTTATGATTGTGGCGGATTTCTGGGGCTGAGTAAAACCAGCGGCCTTTGTTTGACGTAACGAGTCGTATTATTCATGCAAAAGTGACGTTTCGCAGTATTTCCTCATTCTAACCGGCTCATGCTGCACTTCGGAATACCCTGATCTTATTAAAGCTGTAGCCATTCCTATTTTCTATTATGATTATTATGACTATTAATGATTAAAAACTAAAATGTTTTAAATAAAGAATAAATTATTAGTATTATTCCTAACCGCTTCTTCAATTCAGAGTCACGGTGGAGGTGATAAATTTTCGTCCCCTAAGAACAGAACCGATGGGATAACTCCCGTGGGTACTTATGGTTCCAGGAGAGTTACGTCAATGGTATGAGGCGGGGAGCCCTGATAAAGTTGAAGTCCACTACTGTTAGTAGTAGTGGTGATGTTTTGGGTGAGGTTTATCGTCGTAAGAATGGAGTACGCTTTCTTCAAAAAAATATTTTTTTCTAAGCCACTCTTCTAAATGGTAGAAAGGGGGAAAAAATCAGAGGGTGAGGGGGTATTTAAATGTGAAGTCTTCTAAAAACAATATTTCTCAATTTAAAAAAAATCTCCGTTATCAATTATGTATATTCCTAGACTTCATGAATAAGTAAGTGCTGTGCCACATCAAAATTTAAAATAAACAAATGTCTATATGTGCTGGATATTAGACTCTAGATATACAATTAGGCCTACTCTGAAAAAAACGGTTCAAAAACTGATATTACACTAATACACACTATAGCGAAAATGTTTAATCCTGTTATATATTTTGGTCCGATTCAATTTTTAATACTGTACATACATGCTTACAAAAAAAAGGTCAAAAGGAACAAACTTTAGAACACAGTTTGAAGAGAGATGTCTTAATTATTATAATAATAATAATAATAATAATAATAATAATTGCTTACACTTATATAGCACTTTTCTGGACACTCCACTCAAAGCGCTTTACAGGTAATGGGGACTCCCCTCCACCACCACCAATGTGCAGCATCCACCTGGATGATGCAACGGCAGCCATAGTGCGCCAGAACGCTCACCACACATCAGTTATCAGTGGGGAAGAGAGCACAGTAATGAAGCCAATTCATAGATGGGGATAATTAAGACTATATGGGGATTATATTTATATATAAATATATATAATTTATATATGGGGATTATAAATTATTGTAACGCTTACATCCGACAGGTACTGTGTAAGAGCCGGTTTACCAGAGCAGGTGACGTCACCGCCCTTCCCAGTAATAGCAGGACCACAGCCCCTGGGCTGTGGAGAGATCTCTCTTTAGATCACCGGGCTGGGTCCCTCTTGAGTGACGCGGGAGTCCTGGGTTTGAGCCCCCAACGGTGGGGGGCCACCTAATGTGGCAAGGGCGCCCGCCTGAGCCCCCGTTGCGTTACATTATGTTTATAATGCTGATCATGGATTTTGGCAAAATGTTGCACAAACATGATTCTATTAGGAAGAGGCTCTTTTATTCACTCTGTAGAGCCTAGTCTTCAGCAAATATGGCTAGAATCAATTTATCTCAGATTAAGATCTGAACTGTACTCATACAATAAGCCCTTTCAATAATCTTAAAATAGACCACTCAGTGCCTTATATGTGAGCAGGAGAAGTCCACTCTAAATGTCATGTGGAGCCAGTGCAACTTACAGAGAACAGGAAGTATGTGCTTTTGTAGTGTAGTAACAGTTTGATATTAACACATGGATAATGATGCGGAAGTGTCACTTGCGAAGATGATATTGAGAGTCAATGAGCTTGGTCTTATATAGATACCTGTTGAGCAATACATTGAAACTTTTGTTCTGCATAAGGTAGCTGAAGCAAGAGCTGAAACAAGTTCTGACAACAAGTGTTAAAAAATATATAACTCCTGTCCTATCTTTGAAAATTGATTTGATTTTGCATAGTAATAAAGAGAAAGTGGTGGTGAAGTAGCACAGTAGTTAACTTTGCTGTCTCAAAGCATTAGGGCCCTGGGTTCAATTCCTCCCCTGGGGTGCTGTCTGCATGGAGTTTGTATGTTCTCCCCAGGTTCACATGGGTTTCCTTCAGGTGCTCAGAATTTTAAGGAGACTCAAAAGTCTCAGAATTAAATCTATAGCATGAAATTATCTTTGTGGTGAAGGTATTGTTCCAAAAAAATCTTATTTAGTTTTCTGCAAATTTGATTATTTAGTCAAAATCTTCATACCTTTCCAGTATAACACTGATAAAGATCTGATCAGACCTAACATGTCGTGTAAAACCTATGCTGACCACAAACTTATTCTGTACATTAAAGCAATAACTGATAGTAACTAAAAGAACTAAGTCTATACAACAGGGATAAGGATAGGGCTCTGACTATATGTAAATGTGCAACCTGTGTAGATTGCATTAGCATGACAATTCATAGGACCATGATTGGATGGTAAGTGGCAAATGCTGTGTTGGACAGTCTCTTTCCTTCCTCCTTTGATATTGTTTCTTTCAGGTCTGGCCTCTCCATGCACTGCACTCTATGTAACTTGCACAATTAAAGGCTTAGCAATGACAGTTGCTAAGTTCCATGTGAAGGCTGCTATCACCCATGCTGATATTGTTAGTGTATTGTGAAGACCTTAAAAAGAGTAGGATTTTCTTTCTACAAACTTAGGCAGATGTGGGAGTAAATACATATTTTTAGCTTTTTTCCCTGTGATTAACTACTTTTGCTTTTATTTTTATAGAATTCTCTGTAAGCTTTAATTTTAATGAAAAAAATAAATCTTGTGGGTTTGAATGCTTTATTCTTTTTCTGTTATTGACTGTGCATTGCTTTCCCAAATTAAACCTTTTTGATTTAAGATAAGATCACTTTATTAGCCATACACAATTTGACTTTCTTCATACCCCAGCTTGCTCTCCATGAGACACAGGCAGGAAGTGAGAAGCTTGGGGTCAGAGCACAGGGTCAGCCATTGTACAGCACCCCTGGAGCAGTTGGGGTTAGGGGCCTTGCTCAGGGGCCCAATGGAGTAAGATTCCTCTGCCAGCTGCAGGATTTGAACCAGCAACAGGCACGGATCCTTAGCCATAGAGCCACCACTCCACTCCTAACCCCTGCTTTAGCAAATTTAATATTAATATCACCTAAATTTAATTCTATGATTTACCAGAAAGGCTAATTAAGATAGGGCTTTCTGAACTGAGGAGGGATTTCAGATATACACAGTATGCTCATTGATGTGGCATAAAACCTTGCTCTTCACTCTTGATATATGCCAATAAGGAAAAATATTTTTCACAAAGATCCATTAATAAAAATATCCCATAACATTCTTTACTTCCTGTAGTACTATTGGTACTCTCCCCTGTGAGTGCCTTATTATTTCAAACATCACAAAGCTCTAAACTTACTATCAGTAAACCCCTGCTTTAGCAAATTCAATATTAATATCACCTAAATTTAATTTTATTGTCTGATCTGATACTAGATCTAGTATTTATTTTTAGCTCACCTCTTTGCTGAGATGTGTTCTGCAGAGTCGTGTTTTTATGTTATCTAAGCATTTACAGTATATACATGCTAAGTGACTATAACTGTTACTGATACTGCTCATCAGTCATGGCAATTGCAAAAGTAATTTTACATGAATAGTCCCAGCTAACATTTTGAAAAACAACTTTCATTGCAGCCTGGTACAACAGATTTCTTCAAAATAATATTTTTGTGGTTGAGTGCAGCACTTCACAGTAACTGTTAAATGGCCTGACCATCTACAGGACATAAGTCAATTTGATCTGCAGTTCCTATGAACTATCTACCACCTATGAATTCATCCACATTTTGTCAAGCTTTTTTAGCCTTCTTTGAAAAAAACTTTGAAAAATTACCTCTCTAAAAGGAATGCTAAAATGGAATGTAATTTGTGGCTATATACTGTATATTAACTACCAAACTGTGGACACAAAGTGCAAAAAGTCCTACATTAATGTCCATCAAGCATGTTTTTTATAATCAGACAATTAAATTGTCAGCAAAAACATTAGGACATATCAAAAATCTCCATTCCTATTCTTTTCTCTGTTCATGTTAAGGGTTTGGGTGTTTTCTTTATCCTACTGATGGCTGTCATCTGATTTGCAAGCTCTAATTTCTGAATGTCTGAAATCAGATCTGCCTGCAGTTCATGTCCTTCTGTTAATTTCTCAGAAGACAGTGTCTGCTTATATTTTGTAAGTAAATCAATATTATTTATGTTTAGGTTTGTTTATTTTCAATCCATCAGTTGGTTAATCGGTTTCTTAATTTAAGTAAATTACCAGGAAATACTTAGAAAAAGCCAAATTCAACTTGCTTTTTCAACAAACCTAGCTCCAAAGTCCTACATACATTAACATTGTTGTGTCAGGATTAACAATTGCCTTACCTAATGTCACCTTATCTAGTCAGATTTCAGAAGCTAAACTAAACTGACCATGTTAATCACCAAGACAGATTTCAAAATCTGTTTGCTGCACTAACTACTGTATATTGGCGAAAATATGGGTGGCACTCTTTGTTCTGGACTAGAATTCACTGTAAAACACTGCTCCAGTTTGGCAACTAGGAACACTATACTGAAGTGGTATTTAGAGATCCCAAATACTTGATCATTAAAGATCCCAAGGCACTGTTCATAAGAGTAGTGCTGTTAAGCTATGTCCTGCATAAATTCCACACTTTGCTTTCACAAAGCTTTCCCCCCTTAGTTCCATCACTCAATTGGTGTTGGAATTTCTTATTTATCCACCTGATCTGCTGTGTAAAAGGCCTACTGGCACATAATACTTGTGACACTTGCTGAAGTTCAGGTGATGGATAAAGCAGGACCTCTCTTATGTGTAAAGCATTCTTGGATCCTTTGACATGATTAGTGCAATACAAATGCAAATAATTTATTTTAATTATATGCATCTGACAAGGTTCCTTATGCTTTTATTCAATCTTAGACCCATAACCTCTGATAAACATCTAATACTCAAAATATTTACTCAAGAGTACTTTATAGAATACAGTTTAGAAAATGATATGCTTGATATTCTGAGATGTCTTAAAATACAATCCATCTCAGTTCAGTTTATTTGTCATATACACAACTGCAATGAAATATCTGATACAAACACCAAAACATAAACACAGAACAGCAGCAGCAACAAGTAGCTAAATAACATACAACTTTAAAAAAGCAAGTCAGACAAGCAGTGTGAGAAGAGAAAAAAACACATCAGTGTGAGTAATAATGTGGGTGTGATAATGTAGATGGATTTAGTCAGTAGTGAGGGTAGAATTCAGTAATCTGACAGCTTGCGGAAAACATCTGTCTTTGAATCTGGAGGTTCGTGCCTTTATGCTCCTATAACGCTTACCAGAGGGAAGGTGGGAGAAAAGTGATAAACCAAGATGATTGTTGTTCTTAGTAATACTTCCAGCCTTCCTGAGACAGCGCATTGTAAAAATGTCCACAATAGAGAGAAGCTGTATTCCAATAATGGACTGGGCTGACCTGATTGTCCTCTAAAAACGCCTTTTGGTCAGACAACGAGCTGCTGCCAAACCACACTGTAATGCCACATGTGAGCACACTTTCAAGTGCACCTGTAAATGTAGTAAGGACAGTTAAAGATAGAGCTAATTTTTGTCTGAGAAAGTAAAGGCACTATTGTGCCTGTCTTGTAGCTCCAGTTACATCCTGGGACCACGTTAAATCATTAGTAATGAAGGTATCCATGAACATACTGTACATGGAGATCATACAAACACCATGCAGATATTACTCCAGGTCCGAATTAAAACCAGGGCTCCAGCATTGTAAGGCAGCAATGTTAACAACTGTGCCACTATGCCCACCAACAAAACATAGAATTTCTTACTAATATTGCTTTGCAATTGTATGATGAAAGTGTTGATATAATAACCTACATAGTTCAAGTTCAAGTTTATTGTCATCGTACTCATATACAGGTATATGGTATAACAAAATGCTATTTAGCTAGCTCTCAGACAATACGTAGTACAAAAAAATAACAATACAATTGTATAATAAAAGAAAGACAGAGACAACAGGCAGTGTGCAAAAACAACAACAGGCAATGTGCAAAACAACAAAAGGTAACAGGTAATGTGCAAAACAACATCAGATATGCAAAAACATGCATCAATAGAATGAAATAAAAGGATAGAAAATTATGGGGAGTGAGCTTTTTGACATGTAACATGGAGGTAGATTTCAATGTGTGTTTGAGTTTTTGGTAAGAAAGAAGGCACTGTGAGGTTCAGATCATAGAGAGGCTGGGAGTTTAATAGTTTTAAAGCGTAGGGGTAAAAACTGTCTCTGAGTCTGGTAGTCTGGGTCTGAATGCTCTGGTACCATTTTCCAGATGGTAGAGGGTCATACAGTCTGTAGTTGGGGTGTGTGGGGTCTTTGATGATGCTTAGAGCTTTCCTCAAGCACTGTCTGTCATAAATGTCCTGTATAGATGGGAGGGCAGCCCCAGTGATGGACTGGGCAGTTTTCACCACCCGCTGTAGAGCTTTGTGGTCAGCAATACTGCAGTTGCCATACCACACTGTGATGCAACCTGTCAGTGTGCTTTCTGTAGTGCATCTGTAAAAGTTAGTGAGGATAGAAGGGCTTTGGGTGATGTTTTGGGAAAGTGGGCTAATTATCACATCAAAAGAAGTGTTTTGATATCTTGTACCTGTGTATATGTTTTTATTCCGTTGTGTACAAAAAGAAATCAAGGTTACAGTACATTATCTTCTGGAGTTTCTTTGGTTTTAATCCTAATCATGCTGACACATTAATCATAAAATGACACCCACCTTACCATTATTTGTTATAATTATAAAATATCATACAGTACACTGCAGTTAAGGCTCTGTTAAGAAGGTATTCAAATACTGTATGTTTATGTTTAGTAATATTAGCAAAGTGGTGCAGTGGTTAGTATTGCTGCCTTGTAGCACTGGGGATCTGGGTTCAATTCTACATCTGGGGTGTTCTCTGTTGTGGAGTTTTTATGTTTTCCACATGTTTAAGTGGGTTTCCTACAGGTGTTCTGGTTTCCTCCCACAGTCCAAAGTGAGACTTGTAGATTAATTGGTTTCTGGGAAAATTGGCCCTGGTGTGTTTGTTTCTCTGTCTGTGGGTGCCCTACCATAGACTGGCATATTGTCCAGGTTGTATCCTTCCTAGTGCCCATTGCTTGATGGGATAGCCTCTGGCTCCCCTGTGACCCTTTATTGGATAAAGTGGTTACAAAATTGTTGGGTTTTTAAATCTTATACACAAAATATAATGTACAGTAGCACTATTTGATTACATGCAAATTAGAAAAATATATTTATCTTGAAAGCAAAAAAGAGCTATGAAATGGAGTAACTAATTTGCATTGCCCATTTTAAATTAAATGATATAATATGCAGCATTCAAAAGTTTTACATTTGGAATATACACGTGCTTCACTTCCAACAATTAATAATAACCCTCACATTCAAATTAACAAAAATAATTAAACGTTATCCTTGGGACTGCAATAACGTGACTTGTTTACTGGCATAAGAACCTTCACATCCTTTGTACAATGTATTAATAACAGATAATCCAACAGGAATCTTTCAATAGTACAGAAATCCAGAGGATGTGAAGCCCCAGGAGATCAATGACATGACAAAATAGCACAGAACCCCAGATGCCTTCTCAATATGACAAAGCCTTCATGAAGGGATTATTTATAGCAAATGCCCAGTTCTACAGGAACTACAGGGTTTGTAGTGTATGATGACTGCTGAGACTCTTGTGAGGATGTAACTCTCTAGTCTCTAGGAGTGTTAAATATCCTGCAGCAGAGACCCGTTTTTGGCAAATGAGTTTGATTTTTGTTTAAGTTTTGAAGATAAGGGTGTCAGATTTATTTCAGTCACAGCAATTTCCATCTGAGATTCAAGTGCAAATGCCACAACTTTGTGATGTTTTGGATTAAATATGTTTATGCTGATCAGCCCTTGAGCAGTGCTGTAACAAGCCACAGTTTGTAATTAACCTGTTACACATACACCATTCATCATCTTTGTTTGTTCATGATTTCCATATTGTTTGTATCATCATGCTTGACCAAACTATGGAATATCCTAGATTACTATATAATGTGGCTCAGAACCTTTGTACCTAAACCCTGGTATTCAGTAGCTTTCCTGGCTTTATTTACAAGAAAATAAAATATTCTCTAAAGATATATAAAACGAAAATTCTTCAGCTACTATTAGTACTATTGCTAAGGATAGAAGAACAATTTGGACAGTTCGTGGGGGGTCAATGCAAAGCATGGGAGACCTGTATTATTAACAGACCAAATATTGGTGACTGGGAATCATTCTGAAATAGTGTCTCCCTGTCATAAAAGGGATGTAAAGTTCATTTGATTAGTAAAACTGAAAAGTCAATAATCTAGATTTGTTCACTTAGACAGATTAAAAGTACTTTCAGCTGCTGATGTATTTGTGGTTTCACAGAAGACCAAGCAGAAAATGTGTGTGAATAAAATCTTAAAATCTAAAATTAAAAACTATTATTTTAAAACAGATATAACTGTCTATTGTAACCATAGCGTGAGCAGTATCACCAGTATCAGGTTACTTTTGCATCTCCCGTCCATATAAACTTGAAATTTAAAGAGACGGCTTAATGAATATTTTAGTCATCGAGTATATAACGCAGTGTAGGTTCCAAGCTTGTAATAATTAACTGGTGCAATTTGAGACCTCATATTTTAGAGTAACTTGTTTTGATAATTTTGCATTTGTTTTCCTCTGCAAGTGAATTTCTGCAAGGGGCTCGCCCCACCCCCTTTCTGTTTTACACAGGGCGGAGACGGTTGCCACGGAGAAGCCTTGAGCCACAACAAACAGAGAAAACAAAGCATTAGAAGAAGATTGACAGCACCGTGAACGAATTATAATGCATACTTACAAGGGCGGGACTTCCAGCAAGTTAGCTAGAGAGCGAGAGGGTGAATTGAAGCGGTTTGGTGCCGCTGAGGATTGTAACCTGGTCAAGTCAATGGTATGTAAAATGTTTTTTAAATATATTCTTGTTATCACTAATCTGAAGTTTATCCTGTATTCGTATACGCGTGGTTTTTGTCAAATAAAAAATACTGATACTGATTTTCTTAACCTGTCTGACACTTTTCAGGCCCTGCTTGAGCAGCATCTTGACCTCGTAATATTAGAATACGCATTTTGTACATCCACTCCTAATATTATTAAAAGTTCATTCAATAGTTCGTCATTTTATATCGATTTGTTACATCTGGTATATGGATTTTAAATATAATTATGGTAGAGCTAGTGCTAAAAAAGTTGTAATTTATTTGACCAAAACTTGTACAAGATGTTTGGTGTCTACGATAAATGTAGTCTGTTAACAGACTAATTGGTGGCTTTATTTTCTTTTGTAGGTTTCTAGAGATTCGCTACAGTTTATGCTAGTGAGAAACGTGTAAGTTTCTCTTGAAAATCGAATTGTCAGACTTATACTGTGTGATGAAACTGAACTTCATAAAAACAAATATTGCTACACATTATTATCAATGGCAAACAAAATTTGGTGAAGCAAATTTGGAAAATTAGTTATTTATAGAATTACAATTAAAAAGATACAGTTCCAGTTAGAAACGTTTCTAGGTAATAATATATAAATTAAACAAAACAAGTGTAGGGCAGTCCTCCCATCTAGCTCAATTGATTGCTAGTGGGTGAAACCCTATAAACGGCATCTGCGGCTTTTAACCCTTAACAGCTTGATTGGGTAGCTTGTTCCCGCTCTCACAACCCTCTACTGAAATTGTGAATCCTGAAAGTTTCAAATGCACTTCTTTGGTTCTGAATCAGTTATTTGTGTAGATTGTGGCATTCCCTTTAAGGATTTTGATTGCTTTAGTCAGTTATTCTTGTTGTATTCTTCAAGTTCAGTCAGCTTGTCAGTGTGACAGTTCTGTGATCCCAGAAATGTATCTTGTTGATTTTAGAGCAGCAATATGTTTTTTTTTAACGTGGTGACCAAATTGCATTGCACTGTTCTAAATTCAACCTTTGTTGAATATTACTAAAATCTGTATGCACAGTCTGAAATCCAAAATAAACAGGACATTTCCTTTTTATTATACTCACTAAACCTCCCTACTTTAAATGGAGGTCAAAATTTAAGTAGAGTAATTAACTGAGTAAATGATTAATCTTAATTTCAAATTGTAAGGCTGATAAACCACTAGGGACATATGGCTTTCCAGTGAATTCCATAAGGTATTCAAAAACAGTTGGCTTGCCCACCTATAATTGGATAAGGGAAGGAACAAAGCTGTTATATTTGTTAAACCAAAAGAAGGAAAAGATTTAAATGTGGGTTTCACCAACCAGTTTCTGTACTCAATGTGGGCTACAAGATTTAAGCTTCAATTTTTTATCCCAACAATTAAATTTAGATCAAACAGGATTATTTCAGAATACACATAGACAAGATAACATTACATACTCTCCGTATTATCAAGTAATAGAGGATAAAAAATATGGGCGATCTTGGTTAGACTAGATGCAGAGAAAGACTTTGATTGATTCAGTTCAGAATTTTTATATCAAACATTAGAGAGGTTTGGATTTGCTGATGTATTAAGACATTTAATTAAAATCTATTCAAATTCTACAGGGCAAATTAAGATCAGTAGAAATGTTTTTGACATATTTTGCTTAAAGAGAGGTATAAGACAAGGATGTCCCCTGCTAAACCTCCTGTTTTCTTCATACATAGAACCTCTGGCAGAATGGATTAGGCAAGACCCAAAAATCAAAGATTTTCAAAGGACAAGAAGATTGCAAGCATTGTATGCAGAGGATATCCGGCTGTATTTGGATAATCCTAATGAATTTCTTTGCTAGGATAGTGAATCTACTGGAGAAATTTGATATTGGACTATAAACTGAATATATAAATAAATTGAAGTTTTGTGTGATTATAACCCACTGGATCAATGAAAAGAAAGGTTTAAGCTAAATTGGCTATAAACATCCATTAAATATTTGGGAGTTAATTTATCTGAAGACTTATCAAAACTGTTTATTTCAAAATTCAGCTCTCTCTCTTAAAATAAAAGATGATCTAGCTAGCTGGAGTCTGCTTCTTCTCTCATTGGGATTTAGAATGCAAGTTATTAAGATGATTGTACTATTATGTAACATAATATAGAACAGTGGTTCTCAAATGTTTTGGACCAAGTACCACCCCTGATCAAACCAAAGCATTCAAGTACCACCTACAAGTCATCTTCTCATAGGAACTCCAGAAATCCTCAATGACCAACATGAGCGCACATGCGTGCACACACTCACATACACATATAATAAATATTATAATAATAAACTTTATTTGATATGGCGCCTTTAAAGGTGGCTTCTCACAGCTTTTTATTAAAAAATAATAAAAAAGCACCATTTCAGTGAGAGGGGTGAGCCTGTTTGGTCGAGTAAAGCAGATGTGAATTCATTTTTCGAGCCTTGATACAATTCGCAACAGAGTCTAACAGATTTTAAATCGTCAGGCATTTTCTTGATTGCAAAGTTCTCGCAGTGGATGTTGCAATGCGTCCATTCATTTCTGGAGTAACCTCTCTAATTTGTGTAACTACACCGCTGTGTCGGCTTGTCATCCTAGCACCATCTGTACAAACTCCGACGCATTTTATCCAGTCGATGCCATTCTCTTCGATAAATTCATTCAGAAGCTGAAATATGTGCTCTCCTGTAGTTTCTGTTGGTAGTGGTTTACAGAACAGAAAGTCCTCATGGGACGTACCCTCAAACTCGTACAGTATCTAACGTAAACAAGCAAATTGGCCAAATCGACTAAAGACTGATCTAATTGCAGTGAAAAGCATCTGCTCATTTTAACACGCTCTACCAGCATACTTTTGATATCATCCACCATTTCAGTAATTCTGATTGACTGTGTCTTTCAGAGGGGGGGCAGCAGGTCGAGCTGTTTAGCAGTTTTTTCTCCACACTTAATACGTGTCAGCTCTTTTGCCAATGGTAAATAAGGTTCTTCAAAAATAGTGTGGGGCTTACCTGCTTTAGCAATCCGCAAGCTTGCATTTTCCACCGTTTCCATTTCAGGAGTCTGTCTCAAAAGTTAAAATAAGTTTTTATTTCATGGGAATAGGAGCGAAACACAGAGATGCTTGGTGTATTTTTCTCAAATTAACCTAGAACAGTTCTTAAATATTTTTCTGTTATCTATCACGCTTTCCTGTGCTCAAAAGATTGCCAGCATTCCTAGCATGCATTTCTATGCATTCAAGGTTTAATTAAGTTTTGTGCTATGATATAACTGCTTTATATGCATTATATATGTGCTTGTTTCCCCCTTGGTTTGACAGAAGTTGTTTTTTACGGTTCTAAACTATGATATAACTACATAGTTTACAACATTGGCATTGTTTCAAAATCATGCACATTCTCCTACCTCTCTATTTGCTGGAGATACGTTTTTTTCAATACAATTGGTCACTTACGTTCATAGCATGCATTCCTATAGAGTGGTATAGAACTACATTGTAGCTCTGTGGCCACTCAAGTATTAGCGCGTGCTGTATCATAGTACATAGGCTGCATATTCGACACGTCTTAAAATAGAAAATATGAAAACCCGTCCGGATTTTTCAGTGCACACAACAAAGTTCCAGGGTCATATGGCGTACCAGCTGGCGGAGCTCTGCACACCACTCCTGGTACGCGTACCACACTTTGAGAACCACCGATATAGAACTATTATACCCTTTTCATTGTCTTTCAGTAGACATCTCCACAGAACAGGTTCATGGATGGGAAAAATTGATTTCAAGATTCATTTCTAACAACTTCATTTCTAGAGAAAAGCCAAGGGTTACAATTAAAATTAACCACAATTAACCAAAGAATATTACCAACCTTATATTGTAATATTATAGTGCAAAATGGAAGGAAATGGTGTCTTTTGTCACAGATGAATTTACAATACAGAAGGTTCTGGGGGATAGATCACTGGCAAGATTATACAGTGCTGGGTGAAAATACATCTTTCATGTTTTCGATAATAAAAAACTTTTTCTGAACTCCAATATTTAATGAATATAAGCTGAATATTGGGCAACCATACAAAAATCTATAATGTTTCATTATTTATTAAATAATAATGTTTATAATATAAGATAAATAATGTTTATTTAATAGAAATTCAGTGATTCCTGTGTGCCAAAGTAAGTGAGGCTTTTAATTCAATAAGCCATTGCACATAATTTAGTAGCTATGACAGCAACCAAGCATTTCATATACAGTGCCTTCAGAAAGTATTCAGACCCCTACACTTTTTCCAAACTTTGTGTTGTAGACGTATTTTAAGATGGATTGAATTGATTTTTTGCCATCAGTCGACACACAAGATCCCCTAACGATGAAGTGAAAACTTTATTAAAAATAAAAAACTGAAATCTCCCATTTACTTAGTGGTGTAAAAAAGTAAGTACACCCCATGAAAAGGTTTGTCTTTTCTACATTTTTGGACAAAAGGATATTTGATTGTCATTTCAACAATAATTATAGATAAAGCTGATCTAATTTTAAAAAAATTGAAAGATTACATTTTGCACTGATTTGTACTATTTAAAAACAGTTAGTACACCCCTACCTTTATCACTGCATCAAACGCCTAAAATTAGAATCAGGTGCACCAAAACAGGAAAAATGGTTAGAACATCATTCGAGAGTAACTTGGAGGACACTGCCTTCTATAAACATCAGAAATCTGTGGTCTGGTTTGGTCTTGGCAATTGAGGTGTGTGGCTACATCATGCCATATCACAAGAGCTCTCTGAGGCCCTCAGAAGAAAGAGTGTTGATGCCTGTGAGTCTGGGAAGGGTTTTAAAGCCATTTCCAAGCAATTTATTGTCAATCCCTCCACTGTCCAAAAGATCATCTACAAATGGAGAAATTTTCAAACCACTGGCAATCTATCCGGGCCAGGTCATCCCACC